AGTTGTAAACATAATCCGTAATTCAATTCGTAATATTTTACTGATTATTTTTACTAAAAACAAATAGAAGCTTTCAATTTCAGTCATCATCGCAAAAGAACTACTTGTTGAATTACTGTAGTGACAAACTTTATCACCCAACATTCAATAAAAATATGTCGTTTATGTCGAAACAGCATTGTTACTGTTAAGCTAATTTTGCAGATTATCCGGAAGAGAATAAAAAAAGAGCTTTTTAACATAAACTTTTTATGGGCATAATTATCATCAAACTCCCGGGGTCAGTGTAGCTTTTTGTCGCCTGATAGAAATTAGCTCCATTAACTGATTTGGCTCGTAATGGCTTTCATCTGGAATTTGTTTTTTTATTAAGAGTTCGGACAACGGACTGCATTATTAGATGTCACATAAAAAACATAAAAAAATTAAAAGAATGAATTTTTTAAAGCAGTTATAAGCAGTAATTGACCATGATAATCATTACTCAGCGTTCCTATATCAAGCGATGATTCTTCCCTAAGCTCATTATTTAATGGGTTTCTGGCAAGGGAACGACAGCGTCGGGATGCCGGTGCCATCTTGTGGAAACACTTTAATCTTATATTCACTCCTGTTCACTAATTGAGAATTAAATTTTCTTAGACATTCAGATTTAGCAGATAGTAAATTTTAACAATTGTCAAAATAGATAAGCTCGCCAAATGCTGTAAACTTTGTTAAAAGTTTGTAACTACAATTATAATTTTGAGGAACAAGGCTTTCCTTCAGGCGCTTTGTTAACAACACACCTCACTTCTGCATAATCGCTTATTCTAAAATTTCACCACCAATTTTAAAAACTCAACATTTTTTAAGATGTAGGTAAATCAAGCAAAACATATCGAATCTCATTTTTTTACAAAAAATAATACTTCTAGGTACAGGGTGTTATTTAAATAAACAAAAAAAAAGAAAATGCCAAGTAAAATAACATACCAGGAACATTAAAAAAATGTTAAAAAAATTTGACATTTTACATTTGTTTTTTGACATTTGACATTTTTTATGTCTATTTAATGATACTGATAAATGATAATTTTGTATATGTTTCTTCATAATTATTCACCAAAGGTACAAAAAGCTCAAATAACGTTAAACATAGTTACAATTCAGGATACAGCTTATTTATTTCCACTGTAACAAAAGGGCATGTAGAATTATTTTTACAACAGAAACAAATAGAGTCAAAGTTATTATTCAATAAGTCCACCAATTTTAAAAAAAGTCTTCTTCCATTCAAATTTTGTAATAAGATTAAAAAT